CTGCAGGGGAAGGCATTCCAGCAGGGAGAATTCCTTTCCCAGGGAGAGGATGAGCCAGGAAGGGCAGGTTCGTTCTAGACAATACCCTCCCGGGTGATAGCCAGTGGAGTCCAGCGAGCTTTCCAGAGGCCCAGGGAAGTGGGGCCAGGAGGCCGGGGTGTCTGCTTTTGACAAGGAGTGAGCAGGTGGCAACACACAAACAGAGGAAGTCTGTGATTAAAAGAATTGACAGGACATAGCCCCAGAGCCACGGGGTGAGAGGGGCCCTGAGTGTGGAGACAAGACCAGGAAATTACTCCTTAGGAAGAGGTGGGGGCAGGGTTAGTCCTGCCTACGTGGGGCTCGGACCACCATTTCCTGGCGAGAACAAATGCCTCTGGGCCACAGGAAACAGCCCCGTTGAAGTGTGATGAGTCAGAAGGGGAAGCCGCTTTGTACACCCTAGAATTCCCTACAGGTGCTGTTTGTTCTCATTCTCCTTCCAGGTGTTCACTTTGGAAGCTGTAACAGGTGGTAAGGCAGGTGCAACAAAGATACAGGAGAGCAAATGTGGATGCCTAGAGCCAGAAAGAATGTTGACTATGGGAGTGGGAGAAGGTGGATGTGGATTCTTGGAACAAACTCAGCTCAAACCGACAAAGATACAGGAGAGCAAATGTGGATGCCTAGAGCTAGAAAGAATGTTGACTATTGGAGTGGGGAGGGTGGATGTGGATTCTTGGAACAAACTCAGCTCAAACCCACCCCCCCACACACACACCCTGTGGGAAGCAGCCTGGGAGGCATTAGCTGCCTCAGGTCTCATTCAGATCCCTACCAGGCCTTGCCTGCCCCTAGGGAAGGCCTGCAACAAGCAAGTTATTTTATCAGGAGGGGAGCACCTGTTTTATTCATTCTTTATTCATTCAACCAGTGTTTATTGGATATCTATTGTGTGCCAGGTCCTGTAATAAAAAATGTGATTATAACTGTGGTAAGGACCATAAAAGAGATGTACAGAGTGCCAGAAGGGCCTATAATCGGGATGTATAAGATATATAATCAGTTATATAAGGGCCTATCATTAGGATAACAGAACTGATAAAACTGAGGAAGAGTTGATAATGAAGCTGAGTTCCAAAGGATGCGTGGACATAAATTATATAAACAGGAGTAACCCAGGTGAAAGGGGTGGTCTGTGCAAAGACCCCGCAAAGAGAGAATCACTTGCGTATTGGTTGGCTTTCACCGCATAATAAGTTACTCTAAAACTTAGTGGCTTAAAGCAACCCACAATTCTGTGGGCGAGAAACCTGGCTGGGTTCAGCCAGGGAGTTCCAACAACCAGGTAACGTTGTGGCTGAAGCTGGCAGAGGTGCTCTTGTGTGTCTGTGTGGATCGGCTGCCCACTGGCTGGGGCTCCTTGGTTCTTCCCCTCTCAGTCTGTCTGTCCTCTCCAGCAAGCCACCCTGGCTTCCTTCCTGTGGCAGTGCAAGGCAGCCAAAAAGGACACGCTCCGGAGCTCGGGTACTTTTCACGTCTCAGCATCCATCCCATTTGCTATCAGCCCATTGCCCAAAGCAAGACACAGAGCTAAGCCCAGAGTCAAGTGTGAACAAACTGGGGGCTGGAACTGCAATAATTTGCCTCCGTGAGTTCAAGGAATTGAAAGAAAGTGGGGAAACCAGAGAGTGAGGAGCAGAGAGGAGCGTGACACAAGAAAAACCAGAGGTGGGTGGCAGCCAGGACATGCAAGGCCTCCAGTAGCACAGAGAGTTGGGTCTTTGCCCTAAAAGCAGCCAAGCCCTCTGGTCTCCGATCCTCTGTCTGGTGGGTTTGGTCAGTATAAATAAATCCCTTGAAGACTGAACTGCCGCGGGTAAACTAGTAAAATGGATTTTCTAAGCTTCAGAACCGGGGGAGGGGGGGGCAGGATGTGGGGCATGGCCCACCCCACACATCCCTGCCCACAGCCCACACAGATGTAAATGCCCATTCCTTCCCACCGCTGTGCCCTCGCACCTCCTTGTCCCTCAGCTGGGAACAGTCTTCTCACACCCTACCTAAGGCCAGCTCCTAGCTCCCAAGACTCAACTCAGGCACCACCTCCCTGACGTCTGTAAGGCCCAAGACAAGGGACACGTCAAATGACACCATGAGGCCTAGGGAATAAGCCTGGGACTTATTATAGTGGCCTTGTGGTTTCTAAAACCAGGTTGGCGCGTGGCCAGCCCTGCCTATGTGGCACACACCTGTGGGCACAGTGCTTTGCCCACGCTGTAACCTTTTTATGTTTACCACCCACTAGACTATCTTTCTTTAAGGAGTGCCTATAACCTCAGGGCCCACACATAGAAAAGTCAGAAACACTTGAGTGAATGAATGAATGAATGAATGATTCCATCACTAAACAGGACTTTCTTCTGAAAGCCCCAGGCAGTGTTATGAAGGTCTTCGGTCGTGGCAGTTGAGGGGAGGGTGTCTTTCCAAGTAGGCCAGTGTCTCCAGTTCCAACTAAGCCACCCACCCAGAGGAGAAAAGCCCCCTGGCTCTGGAGCAATCCAAGGCAGGGCAGTATGAGAGTGAGAGGAGTGGGCCCCTCGGAGACAAGTGCCCAACATCATTTACTGTAACAGGGAGAGAGCCAACCTGCGATGGCGTCCACTGGAGCAGGTCTTCCCTGGGTGCTGGAACCGCTGACCACGGGCATGTGGGAGGCACTGATGCCAGGAAGCCAACATACAGGATGACTTGCCACAAGCTGGAGAAGCAATCCCTGTGAATCATGGCTGAGAAGTGGGCCCCAAAAGCTCCAGGCCCTGCCCACCAGTCTTAACAGAGATATTTCCATACCAGCTTCCTAGTCACTCGCCACAAGCTGGAGAAGCAACCTCTGTGAACCAGGGCTGAGAAGTGGGCCCCAAAAGCTCCAGGCCCTGCCAACAGTCTTAACAGAGATATTTCCATACCAGCTTCCTAGTCTTGGAACATGAGGGTTTAAATCATACTCTCCTTTTTACAGAAAAGACACCTGAAGCCCAGAGAGATAAGCCTTTGACCCATTGGCCACTTTAAGTCAAGACCTCTCAGATAAAGACTACATTTCCCAGCTTTCTTTGCAGCTAAGTGTGTCATGACTGGAACTAATGTCTATAACTTTGGAGTTGTACTCACAAAGGACAGAGGTGTGCTTCGTTTTTCTCCTTTCCACTGCCTATTGAGCCATCTTGGACCACAGAGCCAAGAGCAACACCTTGGAATAATGGAGCAGCAGTAACATGGAAAGAACCAGGGTCCCTTATATCTGGGCGCACAACCTGGGAGCCACCATATCAACCCTGACCAGCTTATGCCACACGCACTGCTCAGTAAGAATGAAACAGCCCATCTTGAGTAAGCTCTAAGGTATTTGCTGTGGCTGCTGAATGTGTACCCTCCTGACTCACATAACACAGGCCAGGACCAGGTTTCCTCGGGAAGCCCTGGACCACTGGAGCTGCCTATTCCAGGCACTCGTATTGTCCCAGGACAACAGAGCTGTGGCCCCCACCCCAGGAACCAGCTGTTTTCTTGGAATAAGAGTTGGGGAAGCTGCTTGGAGGAAGCTGCTAGATTGCCAAGGATGGGAAGGGAAATAAGCACGTTTGATGTTCCACCTGTGTAGACACCTGGACTAGTTGTTAAAATACTGAAATACTTCCAGGCCAGGTGATAAGCAGCCACTGCCCTGACCCAACCCATCCCTCAAATGTCCCCCTCCCCAGCTATCTTTGCCCCAGACACACAACCTGGGAGCCACCATATCAACCCCAACCAGCTTATGCCACATGCACTGCTCAGTGAGAATGAAACAGCCCACCTTGAGTAAGCTTTAAGGTATTTGCTATGGCCGCTGAATGTATACTCTCCTGACTCATATAACACAGGCCAGGACCAGGTTTCCTCGGGAAGCCCTGAACCACTGGAGCTGCCTATTCCAGGCACTTGTATTGTTCCAGGACAACAGAGCTGTGGCCCCCACCCCAGGAACCAGCTGTTTTCTTGGAATAAGAGTTGGGGAAGCTGCTTAGAGGAAGCAGCTAGATTGCCAAGGATGGGAAGGGAAATAAGCACGTTTGATGTTCCACCTGTGTAGACACCTGGACTAGTTGTTAAAATACTGAAATACTTCCAGGCCAGGTGATAAGCAGCCACTGCCCTGACCCAACCCATCCCTCAAATGTCCCCCTCCCCAGCTATCTTTGCCCCAGACCCAGCAATTGAAAGAGTGATGTGTGGCATAGGAAGGGGTCACCAGGACCTCTTCCTGACCTCTGGGCATGCCACCTGTTAAATGTTTTGAATATCACCCCTGGCTATCAGGTGCCTGGTCTCAACTGGTGAATGGAAATGAAACCCTGAACTCAGTGTGGAGGGTGAGGAGGATGGAACCACTGGAGCTGCCTATTCCAGGCACTTGTATTGTTCCAGGACAACAGAGCTGTGGCCCCCACCCCAGGAATCAGCTGTTTTCTTGGAATAAGAGTTGGGGAAGCTGCTTAGAGGAAGCAGCTAGATTGCCAAGGATGGGAAGGGAAATAAGCATGTTTGATGTTCCACCTGTGTAGACACATGCACTAGTTGTTAAAATACTGAAATACTACCAGGCCAGGTGATAAGCAGCCACTGCCTGACCCAATCCATCCCTCAAATGTCCCCCTCCCCAGCTATCTTTGCCCCAGACCCAGCAATTGAAAGAGTGATGTGTGGCATAGGACCTCTGCCTGACCTCTGGGCATGCCACTTGTTAAATGTTTTGAATATCAGCCCTGGCTATAAGGTGCCTGGTATCAACTGGTGAATGGAAATGAAACCCTGAACTCAGTGTGGAGGGTGAGGAGGATGGCATGAGTTCTGAAAGCCAGAGACTGCTCACTGAATCCCCACCTCCAACTCCTTCTCTCCTCCCCAAAGCCAGAAACACCTAGACCCCACCCAGGCCTGCCCTCACCCACACAGAATGGCCCACAGTCACGCCCAGATATTATTGCACTCTTTTATTTACAGAAAACACAGATAAAGCATTTCAATGTTCATTTAGCAAACTGATCCACTTTTTTTTTTCTTTTTGGCACAAAGAAATATCACAGATGGACCCCAAGATCAATCAGAAACCCATAAGATTTATCAGCCATCACTGGTCCAGGGGCAGCCACAAGACTCAGACAGACAGACAGACAGACAGCATCGCCACAGTCTGGAAAAAATAAACAAGGTCCACATTCACCTCACAGTAAAAACCTGCTCACCGACAGGCAAGGGTGGGCAGGAGGGGGCAGTTTCTATGCTCCAAAGGGGGCAGTGGGCATTGGGGCAGGAAGCAGGATGAGGAGGGACAGACACCATTCATAATTTAGAAAGCGGTGGCCTTTTTGTTATTAACCTCTTACCTTGTAGAAGTAAACAGTGCAAAAACTACCATGCCCTGACCACTCGTCCATTCAAAAGTTTCAGGAGTTGTGTGGTTTGGGGTGTCTCTCCTGGTGGGCGCCTGTGTGTATGTGTGCACATATGTGAATGTGTGAGTGTGGTGCTTGTAAACATTGCCACCATCCACACAGAGACCCAACATCCGTGTGTCTGAATGGGGTGGGGTGGGGTAGGGTGGGGTGGAGGGTGGGCTGTACCCCACTTCACTCCCCCTCTGCCCCAGTGATTCCTGTCCAAGACATAGTGCAAATTTCAGAGACAAACGAGGCAGAGGAAGTGGGGGGACAGGGGAGGTGGGCAAGGGGCAGGAAGGACACAAAGACAGGGTGGAAGAGGGAAGGGGAAATAAGGCAACAGTTAAAAAACGGTCCATTTTATCAAAACCGACACCAGGTGCCCCTCACGCCCACCCCAGAGCCCCTGTCACGAGAAGGGGCGGAAGTCCCGCTCCTCCACCAGGCTGATGGCGGGGTTCTTGAGCTCCTCCTCCGAGGCGGCCATCCGGTAGCCCAGCTGCGCCAGCACCCGCTGGCAGGCATTCTGGGCAAAGGCCACAATGTCATAGGAGAGGCGGAAGCGCCACTTCTCCGCCGTGGCCGCCGAGTTGCGCACGGTGCCGTACTTGTGCTTGCCTAAGGCGGGGTCGCCCTGCGTGTTGTTCTGGATCCAGCGGGCCACGTGGCTGTCCAGGGGGATGCCCAGGAACCCGTAGATCTCCTCCGTCTTCTTCATGGGGTTCCTGGCCAGGTCCTCGTAGCGCACCAGCATGTACTTGCCTTTGAGCCACGAGGGCCGCATGAGGCCGGTGGCCACGGAGTTGGAGAAGTCCTCGCACACCGTGGTCAGCTGGGTCACGTCCAGGTTGTAGGGCTTCCTCCCGGTGCCGTACCAGAGCCGCCAGAGCCGGTAGGTGTCCCGGAAGGTCTCGCTGCGGGAAGCCAGGATGCCCCGCGGGTCTCGGACCAGCTGGATGACCTTGAGGTTCAGCCGGGGGTCTTCCACCAGAGCGCGCAGGTCGTTCACCTCGGGCACCCGCACGGTCTTAATGGCCACATGGCTGCGCTCCCGGCAGGCCTCGGCGGCCACGGTCAGGTTCAGCAGGCCGCACTTGCGCACGCAGTCGCCTTCCTCCAGCACCAGGTCGGCGGGGGTCTTCCAGAGCGCGCAGGTCGTTCACCTCGGGCACCCGCACGGTCTTAATGGCCACATGGCTGCGCTCCCGGCAGGCCTCGGCGGCGGCGGTCAGGTTCAGCAGGCCGCACTTGCGCACGCAGTCGCCTTCCTCCAGCACCAGGTCGGCAGGCTCCGCAGGAGGTCCCGGCTGGCGCCCAGCATGACCCGCCGGTCCGCGGGGCTCCTGCCCTGGGTGAAGCGGGGGATGAGCGTGTTCTGCACGTGGTAGAGGGGCTCGAACAGGTAGAAGACGTCCAGGTGCTGGTTGAAGAGCTGGCCCACGAAGGAGGAGCCGCTCCGCGTGGTGGCCAGGATGAGGATGTGGGTCTTGCGGGAGAGGTTATAGGTGAAGGTGGGGCCCTCTTCGCACAGCCGCTCGGCCAGTCCCGCCTCGGCCAGCCCCGGGCAGGTGTGTAAGGACTTGGCGGTGAAGGTGCGGATGGCCGTGTACTGGATGGCGATGGAGGCCAGGGCGAGGAGGAGGACGGCCTTCCAGGAACATTGCATGGCTGGGCACCTTCATGGGGCTGCTTCTCCACCTTTCGAGCTCTGCGGGCAAAGGCGGGCAGCCATCAGGAGGCAGCCAGGTTTGGCTGTGTGAGGTTTGGGGCAGCCTCACACAAAATAAGAGTCAGACTCCAGGAGGGTGTAGGGAAGTACCCGCTGCTCCCTGCCCAGGGCTCGCTCACTGCACCGAAGGCCAGAGTAGCTTCTACCCTAGGCTGCACCATTCTCTGGGGGAGTCACTGGACTGAACCAACTGATTCCCTGGACCCTGTCCTGCAGGGTTTAAGCTACGGAATGCTGCAGGACTCCCAGCAGAAAGGAGGGGCCCTTAGGGCAAGAAACTAATGCCCCCCAACCCCACATATATAGGGTGTGGCCATTCCCCTTGCCACTGCCTGTCGCCCCTGCTGGCATCTCCTGGGCCCACCTGCATCTTCCTTCCACCCTCACAAAGTGACCCATGTGGTCATCTTTCCTCCATCCCTGTTCACCCCCTGGAGGGAGAAGAGTCCATGTCAGATGCCTCCTGAGCCCGCACAGAAAGGACCCTGCTGCCTGGTGAGTCGGTGAGCTGCCAGCATCCACTCAGTCACGCCCGCTGAGGACAACTGTGTCAGCCACCACCATCCCCTGACTTACGGATGCAGTGACCAGCTTACTCCAGGTGAGGATTCCTGGGGCCCGTGGGGGCTCTAAGAGTCGCCTGGCCCAGAGCAGAGACAAGGTCACGGGCTGTTGAGAATGATCCTTTCCCAGGCCCCTGTGTCCTCCTGGTTTGCTCCCAGCCACACAGGGAAGAGGTCCAGGCCATGGGCAGATGACCCCCACTGACAGCAGAGCTAACTGGCCCCTCCGCCTCAGCCAGTCCTCAAGGGCCCTCAGCCCCTTCTGTGCACAGAGTGAGCACGGGGACCCACCGGTAGCCCAGCAATGGCCCCAGAGAACCAGAGAGAAGAGGAGGGGGTGGACCAGAAGGAGCACCCCAAGGAAAGCATGGGGGTGAGGAGAGCCGTGAAAGTGAACTGTGTGCCCAGGGTTCGGGGACAGGAGCCAGCCTGAACATCTGGAAGTCCCCCAAGAGAGGCTAGTTCAGCTACAGGCCCTGGGGGCCAATGCAGGGAGGGACCCACCACTCACCAAAGAGGGGCTGCTCCGAGCTGGGGAGTCCACAGCCGCCAGATCTCCTGCGCAGCAGTCCTGTGGCCAGAAAACTGCAGAGACAGGGAGAGGAGGGGGTCTGTAAATGGGGTTGGGCTCCCAGCACCTCCCTTCCTACCCCTGCTGTCCTGTGTCCTGTGCTCTACTGACTTCCCCCTGTCCCCCAGGGCTGGGTGATGAAGGTGCTGCCTGCTCTCCCATATCTATCACTGACTCAGGGCTCCAAATAACCCAATGCCATCTCTGACCCGCTGCATCCAGCCCCCTGAGTCCTGGGCTACATCATACCCCCTCCTCTTACCTCCCCACCTACCTACCCATGCCCTCCTAACCAGCCATAGTCCTCTGCTCGCACCAGAACCCAGGGGGCAGAGAGCTGGCAAGCTTGCACCCCTACCTGACCAAGAGTTGATACCCCACATGGGAAAACACCCCAGAGAGGCACCCCCACACACTCATCACACAATGGAGCTGCAAAGAAATCCACTGGCCACAAACACCCCCGGCCTAGCTAGTTCTGTCCATTCAGCTCTGATGACCAGACCCACCCAACCAGCCTCAGCGCTCAGCCTCTAATGATGGAACAAAATGTCAGAGTCAAACTTATCCCAAAAATTGGGCTGGCGCACAACCCCGGCTGGTTCTGCATTTTAAATCAATAGAACAGCCTGACCTTTCAAATTCCAACTTGTTCCGTAACTACCCAGGAGGGGGTTAGTGGAAATCAGCAAGGGCAGGGGGCCTCACCTCACACCTCCAGGGGGGGTGGCAGCTCAGTCGCAGCAGCCCAGATGCTGAGCCCTGCAGGAAGGGACAGCTGGGGAGGGAGGTTCTTCTGCCAACCACGCCGGACAGAGAAAGGCTACCTGCAACTCAAAGCAAAAGTAAACCTGACCTTCATGCCCTGCGAGGAATCTAAGTTAAAACACCAAGATCATAGCGTTATTGTGGTTAGCATCTACTGAGTGCAGCCTACGTGCTAAGCCCTTTATCTGAGCGCTCATTTATTCCTCGCAAGAACTTCATGTGGAAGCCAGTATAAGCTTCATTTCACGGGCAGCTGAGGCACAGAGAGTAGAGGAAACTGCTTGAGCTCACGTCTAGGTTAACCCACATCTAGCAGGTTCCCCAGAGCCCACACTGTTTTCCCTCGAAAGAGATTTGATGTTCTGCTCCTCCAGCTTACACATACTTGGCCTTCAAACATGCATTTGATCAATATCCCCAGCCCATTTGTGAATCGGTGAGAGAGGGACTGGACATTAGAAGGGGGCAGACATCTGCCAGCGGCTCAGCATGAGACAGGCACGATGGGTGAAACAGCACAAAGGAAGGCAAGCACTTACTGGGCATTCATGATGCTTCTCCCGGGCATGTGCTCCCTTCACAGGCAGCAGCTCATCTCACCCTCATGCCAACCATGTAAGACTGATGCTGTAATATCCCCATTTTACAGATAAGGAAGCTGAGGCTCTGAAAGGTTTGATAAATTTCTAGTAGGGGGTAGAGCCAGGATTCCAGCCCAGGCACTGTGCTCTGGAGTCCATGCTCGAATCCTCCTCCCTGATCCCTATTCCACTCACATTCCACCCCCTTGGGTCCTCACCAAGACAGGAAACAGAACCCTTCAAGAGACTTCGTTTAACTATAGGATTCCAGTTCCAGAAACAGAATAAAGAGGAGCAGGCTGCAGGGAGGGGACCATTTCAGTGTTTTCCTTCCCCGCCTCCACCCCGAGAAACTTAAGGCAGGATTGGAAGCTGTTGCCTTTGCTAATGAAGCAGAAGTAACTGGAGCATCTCGATGCTATAAATCCCTAAGAAAGTGGGACTCAGATTCATAAGGTGCAGCCTGGGTACCAAGGAGGGGAATGTGTTCAAAGGCCCCATTGCCGGCCATCGCCTTTCCCCCAGAAGGGCAACGCCAGGGCCTGGGAACGGCAGGATGGAGGAAGTCAGGTCCTCCGAGAAATGTCCCTGCTGTCCTGCCGGCCTGGCAGAGCAGGGGCCAGGGCTGGCCAAGCCTTCTTGGTATGCTAGAGGCATGTGCCCTGAAAAACAGAGGCCCTGGGACCAGGTCCCATTGTCCCCAGGGGAGCTTTGGTCACTGCAAGGGACTCGCAATGCCCTCCACCTCAAAGCTAGACTCTGAGCCCCAGGTCCCTTCCCTGAGCTTCTAGCAGCCTCTGGCATGGCCTCCCTCTACCTCTGCTTAGTTGAAATCCAGGCAAATCTTAGACCTGGGATCTGCAACTTCTGTTGGAAGGTGGGAGAGTTGGTGAACTCCCCCTCCCAGCAGAAAGCTCAGATTTCCATGTCAGGCACCTCAATATTAGGGCAGATTGTGGCATGGTGGGGGGAGGGGGTGGAAAACACCTCTTCATGGGAGAACTATAATTCAGAGCTAAGAGCTCAAGCCATGGAACCACACTCACTTAGATGTCACTTAGCAGGTGTGTGGACCCGGGTGACGCACTGTCTCTGAGTCTAGGTTTACCCATCTGTAAAGTGGGTCTCATCATAGAATCAAAGAACTTCAAGCATTTAGTCAATGCCAGGCATAGAATATGGCCCAGCCTCAGGCTTGGGACATGGACTCTGACACCAGCCCTATTGATGGCCAGGTTTCTTAATCTCGCTTGGCCCCTGTTTTCTCACCTGCAAAGTGGGGATAGTTTTAACAATGCTGTTGTGAGGATTAATTCATTAATAGTGTCTAGAATAGAGTAAGCACTCAATGAATGTAACTGACTATTATCATTAAATGTAGTATTTGGTTTTTATCTCGAGGTACGCCTCAGAACAAATCATCACTGACTGTGGCACACACTCTCCCTGACCACTGTGCCCAGACCTCTGCCAGGAGGCCTCTGCCCACCATCCCTTCCTCAGGGGCTTCTCTCCCAGCCCAGCTACCTTCTCATGCTGAGCTACCGCAATGGCTCTCCTGCTGTCCTCTAGTGGGCATATCCTGTAGTGCAGCTCTTAGTCCTGCGTCTCTGCCTGTTCAGAATTCCTGCCTGGTTGGCTGCAGCTTAATGTGAGGAGGCAGCCAACAGGAGGTGAGGTTGCAGGATGCAGTGAGGTGTGATGATTACACGCCCACCCTGGCTGTGGTCTCTGCTCTGTGCACCCCCTCTTCCTTACCCACACGCCAAAAGGCAAGCAGCAACAGGCAGCCAAACCTCATCCCGAGGGCCTCTCCTCCCTGGTCTCATTCTGCTCTGACAGGGGGGGGAACACTGAACTGTCACGGGCAGGGGCAGCCCACAGCCTCTGCCTTTCCCTGGCCTGTGATCTTGTACTCACCCCCCATCTCTGTGCCTCGGTTTTTCCATAACCGAGAGTCAGGGCCACTCTCACTGAACACAGGGACCCTTCTTTGGGAATAGGAAGGCCCCAGGCATCTTCCAAGAAGATACCAGGTGTGGGCAGCTCTGCCTCCCACCTCAGTCCAATCCACAGCTGACCCAGTGGGACCCAGAAACAAGGGGCTCTGCCCTCTGCTGCGTTTGTACCACCCTCATCCCTTCCCGCGCCCCCGCCCCCCCATGAAATCCCATGCAACCCAGAGTTGTGACTCTGCCTTTTCTGGGCCACAGACTCCCTCCTCCCAGAAAGACCCATTTGTGCTCACAATTTCACACACACAATTGGAGAGGTTAAGCCTCTAGGGAAAAGAAGGGGCACCCCTGGGTAGGCTTTAGGAGGTCCAGGAACCTTCTACTAGCAGCACTCCCCCAATTCTAGGACTTCCTTTTCAACTAACTCTATCAGAGAAAGCTCCACACACATTACCCAAGCTATTAAGTAAACAACAGCTAGGGCCAGAAAACCCGCGTGCAATATCACATCGCCATTGCTGATTTTTTAACAGGGGTGTGTGTGTGTGTGCAGGGGTGTGTGTGTGTGTGTGTGTGTGTGTGTGTGTGTGTGTGTGTGTATTTGTAAAGGCGACTAGGAGACAGGGATACGAGAAAGGCACAGTTTACACTAAGCTTTTAGTTCAGTTTGAGTTTATTAACTTTTGGGGATGGAGTGAAGCCACCCATGTACAAACTGAGGACTAATGACAGGGTGGGGCTCTAAAAATCAGCACTGGCACCTCACTGTGCCAACTATTCTGTCCCCAGGGCACTGCCAGCCAGCTGTCTCCTCCCCCATTTCCAAGGCACCAGGGTCAGAGTCACCACCTTTCTGCCAGAATGGGGCTCTGTCTGCTCAGACAGGCCACTAAGGACAGCGGTCGGCTGGGGCAGCTGAGACAGAGCAGGAGCTGAAGAGGAATGAGACCTCAAAGGGGACCTGGTTGGGGAAACGACTGCCCTCCCAGCCTTTTCTCCCTAAAAACAGTTTGTGAAGTTCTAGGGAGGCAGGGAAAGCAAAGAAAAAAAATCTGAATATCATATTTCTAACCACACACAGGAGCTGGTATGGAGGGGCCTCAAGGCTCTGGGGTCCCTGGAACTGGAGCAAGGGGCAGGAGGAACTGGACAAGGAGGGAGGAGTTGGCAAACAGGCCTCTGGGATGGGGACTGCAGACAGGAAATGCATAATCCCTACGTCTGTAGTGGCCAGCACTGACCCACCATTTTTTTGTTGGGTCAAGGCTAAAACACATAAAACAAGGTTTTTTCTTCTATGGAAGATGAGGTGATGAAATGAAGAAAGTAGAAAACAGGGATATGAAAGTGAAAGAACTAGGAGTCAGGTCAGTGTACAAGAGCCAAGCTACTTCTGGGCTTCACATATAGGCCAGAGCTACCTGGCAGCCAATGGGAAAAGGGAAATATTTCATGGATATATTTCATAGGATCCATGAGATGAAGATTAAAGCATCTGCTCAGGGATACCCAGCTATTATTGATCCTGAATTAAGCATGAGATTTCTCCTAAGGGGTCTCCTAGGGAGCCCTGAGCATGTCTTCCTATCCCTAAGACCCCATGCCTAATAAGCCCAAGGACAAGTTTCCTGGGGCTGTGTTCTAGAGCATTCTTCAAGGTGAGCAGCGTGCCAGCACGTAATCCAGCCAATGCAACCTTGCAGGTGAGGCGATCTGGTGTCCAGACTTAGCCTCTGTGGTCTGGGTCAGCCCAGGGAGCCTGGAGGCATGAGTGCCTCCCTGAGGGGTCATGTCCCTAACACTGTGATGTCTACAGACCTTCTGCCCAGTATCTGCACCAACACAAACATGGTGTTTATGTCCAATCGCTAGAGTCCCTGGGCCCCGCGGCCTATCCACAGACCCCACAGGCAGAACCAGTACATCCTTCAGCAACCTCCAGAGGGGGCGAGTTCTCACAATCCTGGTGCCAAAGACAAGCACAAGGAGGGACTGGTCCGCTGACTTCTCAGCAGCAGCAGAGCTCCTCGGCTGCCTCCTCTGAGCTTCTGTGTCTCCAGAGCAGGTCACTCCAGTGCCCACACGTGGTGACACTGAGGACACCATTCCTGGGAAGAGGCAGGCTGGGTGGTGACTGGGTTTGGACTTGACTCCCACTGCTGGGGTTTTATCGCTATGAGACCCTGGTCAAGGCACTTGCCCTCTACAGGCCTCAGTTGTCCTGATCTATGAAATGAGACCGTCGACCACAGAATATTTCAGATATTTGGGCTGTGAGACAGAAAGCTGATGGATGCCAACAGCTTAGCACAGTGCTGGGCACAGAGCAGTTCCCAGGAAGTGGGAATCCTAAGCGTGACTTCTAGGGGATACTTTAACCTGCAAACAGGGAACAGTGGCCTGGGAATGTTGAAGAAGTGAAATGTTAAAGGTTCCCCCGCAGAAGCTCACCCTGCCTGTGTGCTTGCTGTTTGGGGTCCTGCCCTGGGTCCAGCCAGTCAGCGGGGTCCCAGCTCCCGACCTGAGGAAAGTTTTCCCCAGCTGTGGGGAGAGTGACTGACCTCCTGGCACAAAGCCCAGTGTGCCCGGCACCTCTGGGGGAGATGAGTCAGAAGGGCCAGTTCCCTCAGGCCAGTCTTACAGCCGGCCTGGCGGGTGGTAGGCGGAACCCTTCTGCCCCAACCCTGGGCCAAAGGCCCGGTTTCCTG